GTTTTATCTTATTATCAATAAATAAATAAATCTGATAATATATAATAATATATTTGAAAAGGCAAAGTCAAGAAAGACTGTTGAATCTCCAGTCGAGTCTGACCTCCCCAGGGGCAGTGAGTAGGTGAGATGGCTTCCGGAAGGAGACGATGTGGCTGGCGGCCATAAAGGCGGTCACCCTCTCCGACACCCTTATATCCTCCATCCTCAGCTCGTTCAGCCTCTGCACGTACTCCGGCGCGTGCACCACGTCCCACACAACCCCCACCCCGCCGGGCTTCAGCACCCGCACCAACTCCCCCAGCACCCTCATCCTCTCCGCCGCCGCCCCCGCCGACCGGACCCCCAACTCCTTCCCCACCCTGTGCACAAACACCGCCGACACCACCACGTCGAAGTACCTGTCGCTGAACGGCAGCGTTCGAGGGTCCCCTGGCCTGCATAACCAATTAATTATTCCCAATTTCTCAGATCTCATTTAATTTTAAAATAAAACGAAAAAAAGGAGAGAGAGAGAGAGAGAGAGAGAGAGAGATGAGAATGGGCACCTGCAAGTGACATACTCCTGGACGCCCTCCAGGCCGGCGGTCCTCAGGGTGTGGTTCGGGCTGACGGACCCGCCTCGCGTGCGGGCCGGGCTGAGGCCCACGACCCTGCCGGATGACCCCGACTTCTTGAGCTGCATGGCCACGGCGTTGAGGAGGATCCCACGGCCGCCGCAGCCGAGGTCGAGTGCGTGACGGACGGCGGACCAGTCGGGGACGGCGGAGACTATGCGCTGCGACATTTCCCAGTGGAGAGATACGGCGGAGTAGAGGAAGTTGGCCGCCGCGAAGAAGAGGCAGACGGCGGAGAGGGCCGTGACCGAACCCGTGAATCCCGCGGCGAATCTGGCCGAGGCGGGGCCCGGTAGGAAGTGGTGCAGGAAGATGCAGATGGGCTCGAAGTAGAGGAGGAAGAGGAGGGAGAGGGCGGAGAATACGACGGCGTGGAGGAGGAGGAACGCCGGCGTCTGCCAGTCGTCGACCCCGTATATCGCGTAGATCTGCGTCCAGTCTCTCGAACCGTTCTTTCCCATTTCCTTTTCTCGATATAATAATTCAGAAACTCTGTGAAGCCGCGGATTGTGAACTGTGCTGATGATGGCCTCTTGTTCCAAAAAAAAAAAACCTGCATATGTTTTCAAAATAATTCAGAATCTGAGGACTAAATTAAAATTATTGGGAGTTGTGGGTATATTAAATGAGATGAATGTGCAGCTGATTTATTTATTTTTAGGAAATTCAAGAAATTATTTATATAAAAAAAAAAAATTCAATTACCAGCAAAAGAAGCTGATGAAAATATCAGATCCACAATACAAATAACATTGATGATCCCAATATATACAGTAAATAAACTGGAAGATAAAAAAACAGAGGAATGGAAATGACATACAGCTTATGATAATTTGTTACTCCCTTTTTAATGTATTATTATTACGCAATCACGCGTTTTGTGAGTGGGATTCTCTTGGATTGTAGCATCATCAAGTTGTGGGGAGTGTGTGTTGGGATTGGAGATTTTTTTTTGTGTGTAAATAAATAGTTGTATTGGGGGAGAAGAGAAGAGGAGTGAAAAGAGGTGGGGTTGGTGACCGGATCAAATGGTATTTAATAGGATGCTTTGGATAAATTTAGTTGCTTGCTACTACTACTTTTTTATTTCATTTTATATAATTAATAATAGAAAAATATTGATTTTTTCAAGTCTTTGTGAGTTGATTCGGTTTCAGACTAACATCTCAAGCACATTAACCGGAGGATTTTTTTTTTTTTTTTTTTTTTTTTTTTTTTTTTTTTTTTTTTAATTATTCCACCGTCTTGCAAAAAGACAACATTTGTATGTGATTACATTAGATCAACTCGTTGGTCAGACTAAGAAAAATTAAATTTTTGTACAAATTTGACATTTTCATTTCTCAATAAATGGAAGACTTAAAAAAAATAATATCATTTTATATTGGATGAGAGCTTTCATTCATAATTATTAGTTGAATTTTGAAAAAAAATATTTTTTTCAAAACACAATGTTGTAACGCCGGGAGGAGTTCCGGCGTCGGGTCTCCGATGCATAAGTCAGTACTGGATCCAATGAGAGAGAGATAGTGTTAGTAATGAATGAATAAAGAGAATGAGATACCTTGACCTCCTTTTATAGAGAGGTGTACCTTATGTGCCCAAATTGGGTTTGACCCATATAATTATGCTATATGACTTAGCCCATACGTGGGCTTATCTTCCAATATATTTCTTCTTATACACTAAAGTCGGTCTACTATAATATCTTATATCATCTAGTCCCCCCTACTCTGGTCGAGTAAGCATAACTCGATCCAAGAGTAAAATGTCTCTTCGGACTGTTTCCCTTAACCTGGCACTGAGATTATAATTTGAACAAATCCTCGACCACCAAATAGTCGCCAAACCCCCAAATGACTATCGAGACCCAAATGAACACCGAATGACCTTTAAGGTCAAAAATCGAAAGACCTGCTTATGAGGTCGAGAACCAAGAGACCACTGATGAGGTCGAAAATTGAGTGACCGCCGATGAGGTCAAAAATCGTGAGACCGCTGAGGTCGAAAACCAAGTAACCGCCAATGAAGTCGAAAGTCGGGAATCAAGAGACCACCGAGGTCGAAAACGAAAAACCGTGAGAACCTAAGGTAAAAAACCAAGTAACCGTCGATGAAGTCGAAAGCTGAGAATCAAAAGACCACTAAGGTCGAAGACCAAAAATCGTGAGACCACTGAGGTCGAAAACCAAGTAATGAAGTCGAAAGCCGAGAATTAAGAGACCACTGAGGTCGAAAACCAAAAACCGGGAGACCACTGAGGTCGATAACTAAGTAACTGTCGATGAAGTCGAAAGCCGAGAATCAAAAGACCACTGAGGTTGAAAACCGAAACCTGAATGACCACTCCCCGAAGTCTTGAATTTGAAAATTTGAACTTACGTCTGTTATGTTCGATCACCATGCTCGAGCTCTCTTAGACCACCTCGTCCTATCGCCCCTCAGTTCAAAATTTAAAATTCAATCATGCTATTTATCCTCTCGAAAACCATATGTCCTGACGCTACCATCATTTTCAAAGACAGAATTTGACAAAATTAAGATCAGATAAAAGTCATTGACCTGAATAACCTGTCACTGAGGTCTGCAAATAAACTCCATGAGTTTGCTCGAAATGAACTTACTCTACCTGCCACTGAGGTCGAAAAATAAATTCGACAAAACCAAAATTAAATAAATATCCTCGACTTGTCACCGAGGTCTGCAAATAAACTCCATGAGTTTGTTGGAAATGAACTTACTAGACCTGCCACTGAGATAAAAAACACAAATACAATAAAAAAAACCAAACAAAACCATCAACATGCTCGAGCTATCCATAATAAACTCAATCGACCTGCCATTGGGATCAAAACCACAAATGCAAAAAACCAAACCAAATAAAACCATTAACCACTTCGAGCTATCCATAATAAGCGTGACCGGCCTGCCACTGAGATCAAGAACACAAATACAACAAAACCAAAACAAATAAAACCATCAACCTGCTCGAACTATCTATAATAAACTCTATCTACCTGCCATTGTGATTAAAAGCACAAATACAACAAAACCAAACCAAATAAAACCATTAACCTGCTCGAGCTATACATAATAAGCTTGATCGACCTGCCACTGAGATCAAGAACACAAATACAACAAAAGCAAACCAAATAAAACCATCAACCTGCTCGAACTATACATAACAAAATATATCGACCTGTCATTGGGATCAAAAGCACAAATACAACAAAACCAAACCAAATAAAACTATTAACCTGCTCGAGCTATCCATAATAAGTTCCATCGACCTGCCACTGGGATCAAAAATACAACAGAACCAAACCAAATAAAACCATCAACCTGCTCGAGCTATCCATAACAAACTTCATCGACCTGCCACTACTTGAGCTATCCATAATAAACTTCATCGACCTGCCACTGAGATCAAAAAAGCACCAACACAACATAACCAAACCAAATGAAACCATCAATCTGCTCGGTTTATCCACAATGAACTTGATCGACATGCCACTGAGGTTAAAAGCACAAATACCACTAAACCAAATCAAATAAAACCAATAACTTGCTCGGGCTATCCGTAATGAGCTTGATCGACCTGCCACTGAGGTTAAAAGCACAAATACCACTAAACCAAATCAAATAAAACCAATAACCTGCTCGAGCTATCCGTAATGAGCTTGAGCGACCTGCCACTGAGGTTAAAAGCACAAATACCACAAAACCAAATCAAATAAAATCAATAACCTGCTCGAGCTATCCGTAATGAGCTTGATCAACCTGCCACTGAGGTCAAAAGCACAAATACCACAAAACCAAATCAAATAAACCATTAACCTGCTCGAGCTATCCATAATGAGCTTGATCGACCAGCCACTGAGGTTAAAAGCACAAATACTACTAAACGAAATCAAATAAAACCAATAACCTGCTCGAGCTATTCGTAATGAGCTTGATCGACCTGCCACTGAGGTTAAAAGCACAAATACCACAAAACCAAATCAAATACAACCAATAACCTGCTCGAGCTATCCGTAATGAGCTTGATCGACCTGCCGCTGAGGTTAAAAGCACAAATACCACAAAATCAATTCAAATAAACCATTAACCTGCTCGAGCTATCCGTAATGAGCTTGATCGACCTGCCACTGAGGTTAGGCACAAATATACAATAAAACCAAATCAAATAGAACCAAGTAGAAATCATCAACCTGCCTCCGAGGTCTAAAATAGGCTCCACGTCTTCACGACCCAACACTAGGATCGACCACGTTGCCCACCTCTATCGCGGGATGTCAAAAACAAGTGGATTTAGTCTTGACACTTGCCCACCCCTATCGCGGGGTGTTCTAAACAAGCAACCACTTGCCCACCCCTATCGTAGGATGTTCTAAACGAGAGACTTTGATCTTGACACTTGCTTACCCCAAGGAATGTTCGAAACATGGCGGTCGTTAAGTCTAGATGCGTGGACTTTTTCGACCACCTGCCCACCCCAAGGAATGTTCTAAACAAGCGACCATCGCCCACCCCTATCGTGGCATCAGGGATGTTCTAAACGAGTAACTTTGGTCTTGATACTTGCCACCCCAAGTAACCTTCTAAACATGGCGGTCGCTGGAGGCGTAGACTTTTTCGACCACCTGCCCATCCCAAGGAATGTTCTAAACAAACGACCATCGCCCACTTATATCGTGGGATCAAGGATGTTCTAAACGAGGGACTTTGGTCTTGACACTTGCCCACCCCAAGGAATGTTTGAAACATGGTTGACCAGCCTAGAGGTGTAGACTTTTTCGACCACCTACCCACCCCAAGGAATGTTCTAAACAAGCGACCATCGCCCACCTCTATCGTGGGATCAGGGATGTTCTAAACGAGGGACTTTGGTCTTGACACTTGCCCATCCCAAGGAATGTTTGAAACATGGCGGTCGTCCAGACTGGAGGAGTAGACTTTTTCGACCACCTGCCCACCCCAAGGAATATTCTAAACAAGCGACCATCGCCCACTCCTATCGTGTGATCAGGGATGTTCTAAATGAGGGACTTTGGTCTTGACACTTGCCCATCCCAAGGAATGTTCGAAACATGGCGATCGTCCAGCCCAGAGGCATAGACTTTTTCGACCATTTGCCCACCCCAAGGAATGTTCTAAACAAGCGACCATCGCCCACACCTATCGTGGGATCAGGGATGTTCTAAACGAGGGATTTTTTTTTCACTCGAACGACCTGCCACTGAGGTCAAAGGGACAACATACCAAACACAACAAGATAGAAGAATAGTCGACCATTTTCATTAGTGTCATCAAATGCATAATTACGCCAAACGAGATAATAATAAAAATATAAAATATATTTTTGACCTTCCTTTCCTGGTTGTACATGACGACATGCATTGCCATTTACTCCTTGCTTTCCACTCCTCATCGTGCCCAATATCCAGTCCACCTGCTCGTG